TTTTTCCTGTTTTTTAGTAAAACTACACTCAAGGTGTCATAAATACAGTGTGGCCCATGTGTTTTAAACCACCCTGTAAAGCCTTTATTTCTTGCCGAACTCACATTATCGCCACAAGTCGTACAATTTCTATTTTATCTCCTAATGGTATATTTTCCATGGTTATTAACACGAGATAAACTTTACTGTACACTAATTTGTCACTTTTGACAATTAGCTAACTACCTCATTTTTTGTTTACTTCATGGACAACTTGATATCAACGGTGAATTAATAAAATAAGATTTGTGAATTTATTATTTGGCTACAAAATCGTTACTATTTAAAATTTTTTGATATTGGGCCATTTTGGGGGGTCATGAATCCAGTGACGTAAATATACTTTTTTCTCAAAAAATCCGTAACATGAAATATTAGAATTTTACTGCCAAGAACGGACGTAGTACGCCTGGGATTTTGTGGGATCACGCTCATTTTTCTTCACAAAGCACACACTTCATCAAGCTCTACATTAAAAAAAAATCTTGCAGTTTTCAAATGGAACAGCCTGTATATTTGTGGATTTCTGAGAAAATTCTATATATGGCCAATATAAACTGTTTAACATTTTAATGCGGGGTTGCCAAGTTATGTAGATAATTCTTCGAATTTTGGAAAAACATGACCTCGAAGAAGTTGTGGTAACTCTCAACTAATAACACTTAAAGTAAAGTAAAAATATTTGACAGATTTATAGGCAAATGTTAAGCAAAGACTTCTATTTTACCTAATATCGATATTTTATGCAGGGCTTTTTTTATAATACGATCATTTTTAGAAAGTTCAAACTTGATTTTCTAAAATTTTTCAAATGGAACACCCTGTATTTTATTGTTCTACTTTATTCACATATCAGTCTACTCCAACTTTTATTAAGTATGTTTAAAGTTGTTAGTTTTTAAGATATAGCAACATTTCTGGAAAAACCTAATTTTTATTATTTTCGGTCGCACGAAATGGCTTTGGAAAAAACTGTCACATTGTGCCAATTTGTCAGTTCATAGTTTATCATTCCATTTTTTTTATTAATTTTTATTTGTGGTATTCTGTAAAATAATAAATATTAAGTTTTTTCAGAAATGTTGCTATATCTTAAAAACTAACAATTTTATATATAGAACATGCTTAATAAAAGTTGAAGTGGACCGATGTATATATAAAATAGAACAATAAAATACAGGGCGTTCCCTTTGAAAAATTTTAGAAAATGAAGTTTAAACTTTCTAAAAATGATTGAATTATAATAAATGCCCTGTATAAAATATCGATATTAGCTAATATGGGAGCCTTTGCCTAACATTTGCCTATAACTCTGTCTAATTATTTTGTTCCAAATTTTAGTAGCTGAAAGTTAATACAACTTCTTCGAGGTTATGTTTTCTACAAAATTCAAAGAATTTTCTGCATAATTTGCACTAAAATGATAAACTGTTTATATTGGCATATATAGAATTTTCTCGGAAATCCATATATTTAAAAATATACAGATGTTCCATTTAAAAAATGTAATATTTGGCGTGTTCCCTTCTTACTCATCGCCCTGTATGTTTTTAATTTTGTAGTTTAGGTTTCTTGATTCTGTACAACTTTTATATAAACTTTTTTGCTGTATTATGAGTTACAACGGAGTTATTTTACTTTCTCATACTAATGGCCCACCCTGTATATTGATAATGTAAGTTTACATTTTAGGTAAATTACACAAAAAGTGTAAAATTACGTGCTTAATGTAACTTTACTTATATGATGTAATTTTCCAATGATGTAGTGTGTAATTTTATATAAATTTTTTATGAATGTAGGCTATTTTCCTTTATGAGATTCTTTTAAGTTGCATAATTGGAAACACTATGTATTTATTTGGACCATGTCTCACCTGTTCCCGCGATCGGCGGTCGCCGGGCCGGAATTCGTGGGCCGGATTCGGGTCAATTAAAAATTCATTACGAACTGTCAAACTGATAGATAAATGAATAAGTGGAATTTACATTTATGGCCCTCTAAGTGTATGATTTATTGTGCGTTCCCCAGGGCGAGGAAAGTGCCTACTCATCGCCGGTGGATCTAATTAATTAATGGTACATATTAATCAACCTTCGTGACAGCGCTCGTTATATCGAAAAAAGGATTAGAATCCTTCGCAGAAAGCTTATACGTGTACGGTTGTTCGTTTATTGGACCAAGACTTGTTAATGGGATATATACAATGCTCTAACTCGGTGTTCTGAGGGAGTGGGCTTTTTATATGCTATACAGGATGTCACAAGAGGTCCTTTTTCGTTTATTTTACAAATAATAGTCCTTTTGAAATGGATAACACATATTCCTTTAAATGAAAAATAGTAATGAATTATTTTCTATACACGCTCTTGCAATACCCAAAAGCAGTCAAAAATCTTATAAATAGGCACTGGAATGTGATATAATTAAAAGTATTTATCTATCTAATTTTTTTAGAATGTGTTTAATATTATATAAATTAATTTTGTATTGTTTGATTTTGTTTGAAAACGTTGTTGCCTAGAATGTAGGTATTTAGAAAATACGACTAACTACAATTCTGTTAAAGACATTCACTTTATATTTTGCTGTAGGATATAAATTAAATAAATTCTAATTAAATCTCTAAATTTCAAAGACTTTTTGTGAAATTTCTACATATGTTACCTATGCTTTTGCTACAGCATAGCAACTGAGGAATTTTTAAATACTTAAAAAATATACCTATATCATAAATTATTACTTATATAAATTTTATTAAACAATGTGTGGGTACACATGTTCGCAAGTGACCCATTTTAAGTATCACATCAAGAGCGCCAGCCTGACGCTGGACCGGTCTAACAGTTGCAAGAACAAAGAACAGACGCGGGACACACCAGGGTTCCAGGAAAGGTCCACGGCAGATTGGCACCGGGACCAAATACATATACCTGCAAGCGACTCCACACCAAGACTCTTCAACGAACCCTCGCTCCGACAACATTTCTTCTCACTGAACTTTATTTTCAATAAAAATACTTTTATTTTACAATTTTTGCTGCACACCTAAATTAACCCTCAACTGATTACATTAAAGTTGCAAAAAACATAACAAAGGAAGAAAATAGTACAGTCTTGAAATGAAACATAAACACTAATAAAAAGTATTCAAGTGCAGTAAACAAACGGATTTGTAAAACACTCTTAAAAATGATTACACCTTCTTATATCTTTACATTTCACATATCACTAACTGTTTGCAGCCAATAAGTGACTATAAATTAAAAAAATGACATCTTATCTCCAGTTTCTTCTCTGGCAAATTCATTGATTTCAATTTGTTTTGTTGAACGATTCACGACCATGATGAATATCAACAACAACAATTAACACGTCTCCGTATATGACGAAACTAACCAATCTAATATAATAAAAACTTAAAAGTAAGAGGTGTAACAAATCATTCTTATAAAGGCCATCTATCTCATTTTTTTTAAATATTAAGAATTTGAAATAAAAATGCATTGTCGTAAAATATGTTTTAATAAATATTTTCCATACATTTCTACTGCAAACACCGTTATAAAATTCTATTGGACAATATTAAATTTTACTGTAATAAAGGTAATAATTTTTATTTTATTTTTTTCAAATTATACGAAAATATATTTTGTACACATGATTACAACTGTAACCGTTTTTTTGCACAAAATTTGGGACCACATTAAAATCGTAATTTTTGCAAAGTTTTTTTTTTTCTGTATGTCTTTCAACAAGGGACCTTCAATTAATTTTCAGTCAGTAGAAGAACTAGAAAATTTTCTATACGAAGCATAAAAAACTGATATCTATAATTTGGTGGATGCGCAAGGGACAATATAAAATAAAAAGTCACGTATTCATTTAAATTTATTCTGAGCTCAGAAAAAAAAAACAAAAAGTGGCAATAAAAAAATTTAAGGTATATTGAAATTTAACAATAAATAAAAAATAGGATCCCCTTGGAGTCAATAAATTGTGGCAGCATTGTTCTTACATTATTCTTTCTTATTTTAATTGGTACCTACCTATAATTTATCAAAAAAGTTTTAAAAGTATCCATGTCATTTTAGGTTATGTGCTTGAAAACTTTGATAAGAATATTGCTAGTTTCCTTGAAAACTGCATATGCCGTTTCAGGAAATGCAAATTTGAGATAAAAATAAAAAGATTTAGCAGCATACCTTTGACAGCCAGTATCTTTTTTATAAAACGTTTTCAAGGCCTTGTTTTTAGGATTTTACTTAAAATAACAATTTTTAACTGGAATAACATGTACCTCGTTCACAGCCTAAACTTAACCTAAAAACTCATTTAAGGATGGGTTCTATAGTATACAGTGTGGACCATTTTGGTGATGCATGTATTGGTATCTTGGAAACTATAAGAGATATGAAACTGGTTAAATAGGGAAAGTTTTAGACCGTTATGTTGCTAACTTAATGGCGCTTGCAGACCTGTTCTAGCTCTTCAGGTTTTTAAATTATTTTGAAAAAAAAGTAAATGTGGCGTTTTCGAAAATCGTCTGTAACTGTTTTATTTAGAGGAATTTTTAAAATCTGAGAACACAAGTTTTTTCGAGGAGTTTAACTGCATATTTAGATTTTCATTGCAACGTTTCAGTTGCGAGAAACCATCACAATTTTCTTTTTTCTTATGGGCGCTGTATCGAATTTTAAGCTGACAAATATAACATTTTCTTGAACTTTTTTGGTGATATAATACATGTATGAAAAAAATTCGAAACCAACCTCAAAAATCAACATTTTAATATTTTTAATAAATCTGGCAACACCGCATAATTTATCAAAACAATTATAGAATAGTCTGAATTTTTGTAAAAACTTATCATAATTGTAATGACATAGTATGTCGTGCCAGTGCTATAGTTTTTGATAAAAAAAAAACATTCAATTAACGCCTTATTCCTGTTTCAGCTCTCTGGCCATGAATAACAACAACAACAGCACGAACAACAACGACAGCAGTAGTAACAACAATAACCTGCTCAACAGTCCGCAGCAGAACTCGAAGATCGAGCAGGAGAAGCCGGATCCGGACACCATCAAGATGTTTGTGGGGCAGGTGCCTCGCTCCATGGATGAGAACGACCTGAGGCGCATGTTCGAAGAGTACGGCAAGGTGCACTCCATCAACGTGCTCAGAGACAAGGCCACGGGAGCGAGCAAGGGTGAGTAATATTTCTTTTAGTTAATTTTTATCTGTTCAATAGTACTGAAAACTACTGGAAAACTGAAGGACATACAGTTTTCTTCCGCAAATTTTAGGTGTTCGGAAAATACATACTTAAAAAAGTTCGCCAACTTTACAAATTTGTCACCCATCATGAACAAATGAAATAAAACATACCTACATACAAACTTGGAAGTAAATACATCTATAGATGCGAAAACTCGATTGGTAGAAATATTTTTTGCAAATGGAATAATTTTTTAGTACTCACTAACTTACCACACTGATACGATGAAAACTTTTTTGGAACCGCTGACTTTCCAATAGCCCTGTTCCTATTTACAAGTGTGCGTACCTAATTGGAAGGTGATTAGGTACCTGAAATTAATCTAATATTTTTTGTTTACTATAATACAACAGGGCAAATAAGCGAACGACGCGCAATTTACAGCCATATACAGGCTATTACAAATTCGCTTCTTACTACATATATTTCGAAAACGGTAAGAGATACTTACATAGCTTAAATGGAGGCAAAGTTGCGTAATCAGGGGACCAACATTATGTCTCTAAAAAATCAAGGCTAACATGATTAGTTTTCGAAATATTAAAAAAAAACGAAATTTTAGAAATTGGTTTTTGTTTCATTTCAACCTTGTTTGAGGTGATATTGAAAAAAGAAGAACACTTTCTCTTGCCTTCTATCGAATGGCATAATCAATTTTTATATGTAACTTTTCGTCTTTCCAGGACCATCATCAACTTCATTTTTTAAATACGACGATGGAAATTTTATTACATTTTTTGCAAGCCTTCATGACCCCCAATACTGTACTGCCTCAGCCCGAACCAGATTCAGACGTTTTGTCACGAAAAATTCATCTTCAGCGTATTCGATCCAAATTGATCTAAATTTTTTATTTAGACTTCTTTATTTATTGAATTATCGTACACTGTAAGTGTCCTAAGATCCTGTGAAATCCATCTAGTTATTTAAACTATTACCACCACGCAGTAAAATAAAACATTATCAGGGTTTTATTCCCGTGTCCATAGTTATTTCTAGGCTTCTCGAGTACTCAAAATTCAAACAAATTCCGATCTATTTTTTTCAGGATATTCATAAAAATACATCTGACATGCTCTTTCACAGTTGCGGTTAATAGGTATATAATAAATTCCAATAATATTACGTTGATCTTCATTTTCAACCTTTGCCAAAACGAAAATGTTTTTAAACATTTACATTTAAAGAATAATATTTAGTTGGCGTTTTGGTTGTTCATATATATTTTTAATAATTAATTTGTCATAATGAAATTAAAGTTGTAATAATTTAATATTTTTTAATTTTGACGCAACAACTTATTGAATTGTCTATGACCAAGTCATGGTAATAGTTAATAATAATAAATGTTTTATTGTAACGCGTGGTGGTAATAGTATAAATAACTAGATGGATTTCACAGGGTCTAACGACACTGACACTTACAAAGAAATCTCATTAAAAAATTTAGATAAATTTGGAACGAATGCATTGAAGAAGAATTTTTCGAGACAAAACGTCTGAATCTGGTTCGGGCTCAGGCAGTACAGTTTTGAGGACCATGAAGGCTTGAAAAAAATGTTATAAAATTTCTAGGGTCGTATTTAAAAAAATGAAGTTGATGATGGTCCTGAAGAGACGAAATGTTACATATAAAAATTCATTATGCCATTCGATAAAGGGCGAAACGTGGCCACGAGAAAGTGTTCTTCTTTTTCCAATATCACCTCAAACAAGATTGAAATGAAACAAAAACGGATTTCCAAAATTTCGGTTTTTTTTTTTCAAATATTTCGAAAAATAAACATGTTAGCCTTGATTTTTTAGAGGCATAACGTTGGTCCCCTGATTACGCAACTTTGCCCCCATTTAAGCTACTTCGTACCTCTTACCGTTTCCTAAATCCCTGTAGTGAGAAACGAATTTGTAACAGCCTGTATATTCACCTCTTTTTATCTTTTATGTAACTCGGGGATGATACCAGAGGTTCCCAATAAGTTTTAACAACATATATACAGGGCATTAGGTTTAAGGCCAGATTCTTTGATTGTGAGTGATTTTAAACCAAAAAAGTATTATAAACATTGGTCCGCAAATTAATAGTTTCCGAGACCTACTGGGTGTTAAAATAAAAGAAATCGCTCTTTGTAAAATAAGAACTTAATTAAGATAATTAACTGTCAGTAAACCCTGACAAAACGGTCGTAGTACCCTTCACCAGGAGAAGAAATTTAACTGGACTCTCGGAACCTATAATAGGGGAGAGGGGCATTACATTTTCCAGGGAAGTAAAATATCTAGGAGTGATACTGGATAATAAGCTTACCTGGAATGCGCACTTGGAAAAAGTGGTGAGTAAGGCGAAGCAGACATTGTGTGTATGCCGCCGCCTTATTGGGAAAACCTGGGGACTGAAACCAAAGATGTCACACTGGTTGTATACGTCGATAGTAAGACCCAGGATTCTTTACGGCGCTGTGGTATGGTGGCAGAAAACACAACAGACCACAGCGAAGGAAAAACTGAATAGAATTCAGAGATTGGCCTGTTTAGGTATAACGGGGGCGATGGCATCGACCCCGACAGCTGCACTAGAAGTCATGCTAAATCTGCCACCGCTGCATATAGTGGTGGAGAGAGAAGCGCGGCTAGCAGCATATCGACTCAGGAATAATAATGACTGGAGGGGTGGTTCCCACTCCAGGATCAAAGATACATCTATGTCGGAACCAATTCTTGGGATGGTATCCGACAAGATGGTTCCAAAGTTTCACTTTCACAAGCCATTTGAGACTCGAATAGAGGATCAAAGCGAGTGGGAGGAAAGGTTTAATACCCTGGAAAGGTGGAGCCTAGTATGGTTTACAGATGGCTCCAAAATGACCAGAGGGACGGGTGCAGGAATATATGGACTCAGAGCCAGATGGAGTGCAAGCTACAGTCTGGGGGAGTTCCCTACTGTATTCCAAGCAGAAATCTTCGCGATAATGGCGTGTCTGGCAGAGAATGTACGTAGAGGTTATAGACGTAAACTCATATATATATTCTCTGATAGTCAAGCTGCAATTAAAGCTTTAGCCGCACACAAGGTAAGTTCAAAACTGGTGTGGAACTGTTTACAGATGCTGACTGAACTGGCCACCAACAATACAGTCAGACTGTGTTGGGTGCCAGGGCACAAAGGCATTTGTGGAAATGAGAAAGCGGATGAACTTGCGAGGAAGGGATCCGAGACAGTGTTCATTGGCCCGGAGCCCTTCTGTGGCACATCTCCCAGTGTGGTCAGGCGGGCTCTGGGCAAATGGACAGAGACAGAACATAGGAAATACTGGACTTCAAGGCCAGGACATAGCCATTCCAAGGAGCTTATGGAGTATCCTTCGAATGGAAGAGCGAATGAGTTACTGAGCTTGAATAGAATCCGGCTCAGGAGAGTGACAGGACTCATAACGGGACACTGTCACTTTAGGAAACATCTACATAGACTAAAGCTTGTAGACAGTCCGGTCTGCCGAGGATGTGAATCGGCGGATGAAACTTCTCTGCATATCCTGGGCGAGTGCCCGGGATTTGCACGTAGCAGAATGGCGCTCCTTGGGAGACCCTATTTGGAACCCAAGGAGCTGAGAGAAGTGTCAGCAAGGAAGCTTTTGGACTTTGTAAAAAAGACAAATCTACCTGCTGAATAGGACTAGTAGTGGGACGCACAATAGGCCTAATTAGGCCGCAGTGCTATGGGACTTTTAAAGGACCAACCACTAGATGAAGAAGAAGAAGAAGAAGATAATTAAAATAAAAATCCATTAGGCTGGAAATTCGGATACAATTACGTGAACGGTGATGGAGATACCAGGAGTTCCTTTTACTAAAAATCACACGCACACTGGATATTTTCAAAATTCGCTTGTTATTGCTAACTCCTTATTGTGTTTCCAAAGAGAAAAAGATATATTCTTTTGTGTTCCTCCTTCGTACAAAAACCGTAATGTCTACAACGAATTGAGTGACTTTTATACAATACATATTATTTTTTCTAACTAAATTGCGTTCATATATTCATTTCTTTGTTAAAATCGTAGATTCACTCAAAATTCAACACCAAAATAATTTCACTCATAAATAAATTATGGCGTGTTATTTTTTACTGTGTTTATATAGACAGATATACAGATAGACAGGACAGAATAAATTGCTATTTTTTTATTAATAGGCGATAAGCTTGGCTGTTAGTCTTCTAAAAAATAAGTGTCAAAGTTCCTCCAGCGCATCGCATAGATCAGGGCGGGCGGGTTGCATAAAAAATAGCGAAACAAAGTAAAAAAAGCCGCGATTACAAAGCAGGACGTGTAGCGATTTTTTGCGGCCTTAACTTAAAGAAATTCATTATAAATTTCCTAATCTATGACATTATTTTTCACTCTCTCGCGAGAGGGAGCCGGGCCCTGGGAGAAAAGTTTTAATGAAATATTTCATGGCGTCGCTCCGGGTTGGCAACTCGGGGGCCGGTTTTGATAAACCGAGCACATCCCGTACTCGTCAAACTCGTAACTTTTCGATAAAGCTTTATATATCAAAGTTGCCGGCGATTGCTCGAGTTTTTTTATTTACTGCGTTACATTTGCTTAGATTTAGCAACAAGTAATCTTGTCACGCGCTCCCGACGGGCCAAATTTAATAATCGATGCCGCCAGACTGCGGAAGTTTTTAATCTTGAGTCGCGCGGGCAATACTAATAACGCAAATTTAACTAGTCAGTAGGGGTAACTGTACTTATTTCAGAATTCTACATAATAAAAAAGATTCTTGCACAGAAATATTTACAAAATATTCTACTGCATTTATCTTTTCCGCTTTTTCAAAAAAATGGCAAAGACCAAGAAAACAGTGACACCCTGTATCTTAGAAGAGAGACGCTGAAATACAATGGCGAAAGAAAAGCCCTATTAATTTCG